ATCCAAGAAAGTAACTGAGTTCTCCCATCATGCTCATTTCAAACTTCTTCTGCATAACTTGAGAAAATTTCTTGCATAATTCTGGATTAGTGCTTCCAAATATAATGTCATCAACATAAATTTGCACTAACAGAATATGATTAGCAACAGAAATTTGAAATAGAGTCTTGTCAACCTTTCCTTTAGTAAACCCATGGTTCACCAAAAATAGGGACAATGTGTCATACCAAGCTCTTGGAGCTTGTTTAAGACCATAAAGGGCCTTTCTAAGCTTGTAGACACAAGAAGATTGAGTAGGAATAACAAAACCTGGAGGTTGTTCAACATAAACTTCCTCTTCAAGTTCTCCATTCAGAAATGCACTCTTGACATCCATCTGGTAGACCTTGATGTCGTTGTAAGCAGCATAGGCTAGAAATATCCTGATTGCTTCCAGTCTTGCTACAGGTGCAAAGGTCTCATCAAAATCTATGCCTTCTTCTTGACAGTATCCCTTTGCTACAAGCCTTGCTTTATTCCTTACAATGTTGCCTTCTTCATCTGCTTTGTTCTTGAATACCCATTTGGTTCCAATGACATTCTGATGCTTTGGTCTGGGAACAAGTTTCCAAACTTCATTCCTTTCAAACTGTGTCAGCTCTTCTTGCATTGCATTGATCCAATCTGAATCTTCTAGAGCTTCTTCCACACACATTGGTTCCATCTGGGATATGCAGCAGGTGAACATGGCTTCTCTTCTAGATGCAGATCTGGTTCTAACACCACTGGTGACTTGACCTATCACTTGATTAGGAGGATGATCTCTTAGCCAAGTTAGATCAGGTTCTGTCAGTTGCTGTCTAGGCAACTCTGATGGTTCATCTTCTGATACATCATCTTCATCTTCATCTTTGTCTATCAGAACTGGATTGGTAGGAGGAGTTGAGAATATAGGATTGTTGGTGGCCTCTTCTGATGGTTCTGAACTTTTGTCTTCAAGGTTAATCTTCTGCAGGGTTTCTGATAATTCTTCTGCAGAGGTACCATCATCAAATTTGACATGGATGGATTCTTCAACTTGTAGAGATCTTCTGTTGAGTATTCTATAGGCTTTGCTTGAACTTGAGTAGCCTAAGAATACACCTTCATCAGCTTTTTCTTGAAATACCTTCAGATTCTCCTTTCCATTGTTTAGGATATAGCACTTACATCCAAACACATGGAAGTAGCTGATGTTTGGTTTTCTTCCTTTCCACAGCTCGTAGGGGGTTTTCTGATGATTCTTGTGGATCATGCTTCTGTTTTGAGTGTAGCATGCAGTGTTGATTGCTTCAGCCCAGTATCTGATGGGCAATCCTGATTCTGTAATCATAGTTCTTGCAGCTTCCTTCAGAGTTCTGTTCCTTCTTTCTGCAACACCATTTTGTTGGGGTGTTCTGGCAGCAGAAAGTTGATGAAAGGTGCCATTCTGATCACAGAAGTCCTTGATTACCTTGTTGACAAATTCAGTTCCTCTGTCAGATCTGATTGTTCTGACCTTCATATTCTTCTCAGTCTGAAGTTGCTTTAACAGAGATGGCAGCTTCTGAAGAGTTTCATTCTTTTTAGTCAGAAACACAGTCCAAGTATATCTTGAGTAATCATCAACCATAACAAGAGTATATCTTTTTCCACCAACACTGGGAGTTTCAACTGGTCCAAATAAATCCATGTGAATTAGATTTAAAGGACAAGTTGAAAGATCTCCAGCTATGGGTTTGAATGAGGTCTTCACTTGTTTTCCTTTTTGACAAGCACTGCAGAGGGTCTCCTTCTTGTAGACAATGTCAGGCAGACCATCTACAATGTGTTCCCTTGCCAGTTTGTTGATGGTTTTGAAATTCAGGTGGCTAAGCTTCTTGTGCCAGTCCCAGCTTAGCTTTGAATTGTCATTTGCTATCAGACAGGTTCCATCTTTTGCTGTTTGCCAGTCAACAACATAGATGTTCTTCCTTCTTTTGGCAGTAAGAACCACTTCTTTGGTTGTCTCATGCTTGACATAGCATAGGGTCTTGGTGAATTCAACTGTGTAGCCTTTGTCACAGAACTGGCTAGCACTAAGGAGGTTGAACTTCAGACCTTTGACATATGAGACATCTTCAATGATTATCTGGTTCTTGATCAGCTTCCCTCTTCCTTTTGTTTGCCCTTCCTTGTCATTTCCACCGAAAGTGACTCTGGGTCCATTGATTTTCTGGAACTCTGATAGGCAACTCTTGTCACCTGTCATGTGCCTGGAGCATCCACTGTCAATATACCATTCTTGTTCTGAGATGGCTCCAGCACACAGTTCCTGCAAGATTAAAAGGAAGATTTAGGTACCCAAGCAATGTTGGGTCCTGGGGGGTAATGCAGTCTTGGTAGTTGGTACCATTTTGGTCTCATCAACTGAAACCTTGGTGGATGGTACCCATTGTCCACCTGGTAGTCGTAGTAAACAGATGTATGATTCACTTTGGGCAGATGCTTGTGAGGATCATGCTTTCTGTTTGCATACTTTTGCATAGCCTTCTTTGTTGGAAAGAAGTCCCATATACTATCAAGATCAGAGGAGCGCTTAACTTTAGACTTCTGAGGTTGACCAGACAACCTCTTCTGCCTATAGTTAATCTTCTCTTGATATCTGCCTTTCTGATAGCAGTTTCTGATACCATTGTCATGAGATCGTCTGATAGGGTTAGGCCTTTGATTATTATTGTTCTGAAAACTTTTCCTTTTGTTAGAGTTTCTGCCAGGTTCATTAGTTTTCAAGCTGTGTTTTGGTTTGGCCTTTAGAGTTTGTTTCTCTGGTATGACCTTCTCATGAACAATTTTAGTACCAGAAGTACTAGCATGGCAAATGGGGCTCAGAGTCTGTGGTACTATGACCTTTTTAGCTTTAGCAACTTGGGTGCTAGGCCTTACAGAAGGCTCACCAGACTCTGGTTCAACATATCCAAGACCAGAGGTGAAATTATGAGAGTCACCAATATTCTTCATGGAAGATTGCATCTTCAGAAGACTATTATATTTACTCTCAAGTTCTTCAATGTCTCTTATTCTTTTAAGAAGAGACTCATTTTCAGCCTTCAGTCTATCTCTTTCCTCAGTTAAGAGATTAAGTTTGCACTCAGTCTCTTCCCTTAGATCAGAGATATCAACTTTCAGCCTACTGTTCTCATCTTTAACAGAAGAATAAGTGGCTTGGATAGTTTGGAACTCTTCCCAAAATGATGACATTGGATCATCATTTAAGGCTGTGCCTACCGAAGAAGAAATAGAGTCAGAAGTAGAGCATACCTCATCATCTGATTGTGCCATGAGGCAGAGGTCTTCAGTTTCTGCATCTAAGCAGCAGAATGCTTCATCAGAGTCGGAGTCTGAGCTGGACTCTGATTCAGAGAGTGGATCTCTCTCAGCTTGTTCTGAGACGAATGCTCTTCTTCTTCTGTGTTGATCTTCTGGTTTCTTTTCTTCTTCATGTCCTTGCTTCTTGGACACTCTTGGATAGGGGCAGTTTGCTTTGAAGTGCCCAGGTTGTCTGCAGTTGTAGCAGAGGTACTCTCCATTGCTTTCAGAAGGTTTGGTCTTCTGATGAGGTCTTCTGATGGAAGATGGACTCCTTCCATCTTTCTTCATAAACTTCTTAAACTTCCTGGCAAAAGCAGCCATATACTCATCAGATAAAAGTGTAGAAGGGTCAAAGTCACTTACCTTTGAGGTGCTGGCAGTGAGAGCAGTGGTGGTCCTTTCATCAGGAACTTCCTCCTTCTCTTCATGCATCTCAAACTCATAAGCTTTGAGATCAGAAATGAGTTTCTCAGTGGCATAGGTCTTGATGTTCTTGCTTTCCTGGACTGCAATCACTTTCATCTTCCAGGCTGAAGGCAGTCCCCTGAGGATCTTCATGTTGACTTCTTTGATGGTGAGCTCCTTTCCAAGCTCCGAAATCTCACTAATGAGAATCAGCAGTCTCTCATGCATCTTAGCAATGCATTCTTCTGGCAGAAGTTTGAAGTCATCAAACTTCTTCATTGCTATGGTCAACTTGTTATCTCTTTCTTGCTCATCTCCTGCTCCAATCTCATCAAGCTTGTCCCAGATTTCTTTGGCAGTTTTGCACTTCTTGATTCTGTTGAAGTATCTTTCATCAATAGCCTTGTAGAGGATGTCCTTGGCTATATTATCTAGATTGTACTGCCTTTTCTCTTCCTTGGTCCATTCTGACCGGGCTTTCTCAATCATCTGGGGCTGAGAGTTATCAATAGAGTGATCAGGATTGATCTTCATGAACTGGATAAAGGGTCCATTCTCCAAGACTTCCCACATTTCATCATGAAGAGCACACAGATGTGCCTTCATTCTGATCTTCCAATCATCATATTTCTGATCTGTGAACATTAGATGCTTTGCAAGAGAGTTATCCATAATAACAAATAAATAGAGGCTAAGAACAAGTGGATCTTTGTTCAGAGAGTAACCTAAAAGATTACAAGAACAAGGAGGCTCTTGTGACACCGCACCCGAACGTCCTTGAAAATTCGATTTAAAAATTCAAAAGTGATGTATTGAATTTCCGATTTCAAAGCAATGGAAGAAACGATTAATATTTTACGAAGTACGCGATTGAATATTGTATTGTTCAAACCCGTATTCTTTTATAATTTTCATCATGTAAATTATTGGGATGATCCTACACATATTGGAGATCAATAATGTGATTTAGGAAGTTGACTTGTTCTAAATATATTAGGATGAGTGCAAAAAGACATATTTTGACAAAGATAAAACAATAGGACCCATTTCCCCCATTTTTGGAAGTATTGGTAGATAATTTGGACCCCAAATTAATTGGGATCAATTGGGAACCACTCCACATGATTATAGTACCTGCAAAACAAGAAAAATAAGTGAGGAGACTTACCTTGGCCGCACAAGCTGGAGGAGGGCTGCACAAGACTTGATTGGAATCAACCTTGAGACCCACCTTGTCTATTTCCGCACAAATCATGGGTGTGTTTTGTCTCCCTTCATTTTGAGAGTTGTACTCGTCCAAATGAGGTGTATAAGGTGTCCTTGGATAGCCTTTGAAGTGTAGTTTCATAATTGAGTGGCCTTTGTTCGAGTAGAGAGAGCAATCATCCAAAAATCGATCTGGAACGAGCAGTGGTCTGTGAACTCGAGCTGTGGGAGTGCTGAGACTGTTTGGTCGATATCTCGAGTTTTACAAATCCAATTAAGGCGTGTGAGATACCCACAGAAAGCTCTCAAGACGAGGAATCCGTGAAGGTCTGGTTTGCAGGAATCGGAGTTGTGGAAGGCTTCCAAATCGTCCGAGAAAAACGCAACCTCGCAGGAGAGGATCTAATCCTCTAAAGTGAGTTTTAAACCCCAAAGCTTTACTTTTCATTCTCCAAATGATATGAACGATTGGTGAGACTATTATACACTAATCCAAGTGTATAATATGTCCTTATAAAGTTATTTTATTGATGTAAAGGTTAGATACTAACCTAGATGCAAATATTGGAAAACTAGGAATCGAGTTAGCCGGAAAACACCCGTTCTAGGGGCTGTTTTCGTATCAACGATTAAGGGTTGAACTAGCACTTGAGGAGGCTGTTTAACACTCATATTTGAGCAAGGAATCAGTTCCAAATCCACCTTGACCAAAGCTTTGACCATTGGACCAAGAAGGGAAAGTTTAAAGCTCAATTGAGGTGAGGATTGACATCTAATTGCTTACAACTTGTAGGTTAAGCATGAGATTACCTAAATGCTTAAATCATGATTTTTCATGGATTATGATGATTATATATTGATGAAATATTGATATAGTTGCCAAGGAATGAAATTTGAAATGATTTGAGAAGGTATGAATAATATGAGATTAAATGAGTATAAATGAACTATTTTGTGAAAATGGGCATTTTGCTCATGTATGAATTATGTGGATACATAAATGAATATTTGTGTATTGAGATTGAATACTTAAGTTGCTGCTACATAATTATAAATATGTAGAGAATTACAAATAATGAGGATAATGGTATGATAACAATAATCTTAATAGTATTGAAATACTAGTTAGTGATTATTGGAACTTGTTGATTAAATCGATCCTAGGGATTGGATTGTATGAAAGGTACTTGAATATAGTTCAAGTGTATATAATAACTTAGTTTGGAACTAAGGTTAAGTTATGGGAAGTCTTTAAGGATGACCCAAAGTAGTTTAATGATATGCCAATTCTAGGCATAGGGTTGCTTGAGAATTGGACCTTAATGCATGGTGATGTAATAGAGCCGAGCTCTAGAATGCATGTAAGGTGTAGACTTGGAGTCTATGTATTGTATAGCTAGAGCCGAGCTCTAGGACTTGCGTGGTGATGTAATAGAGCCGAGCTCTAGAACGCAAGGTAAGGAAATTGGCCCGAGGTATATGAATTGTATGGTGATGTAGTAGAGCCGAGCTCTAGAATACAATGTCATGTACTAGGGTTGGACTCTAGGAGTTGTCGTGGCTTTTAGTCACGGGGTTGGGAATGGTGATTTCCAAATGAACATGGGCCCACGGGCCGGCTACTTGACTTTTATATAAAGTAAGTATATTTTTAAACGGGGTAACTTAGGGTTACAATCATAATATACTATCACCCTATTTGAGGGTCTTGTGTTTGAAATACTTGTTGTATATCTATTAGATGCCTGCCACACCAGCACTTTATAGCCCTATAGAGTGCTGACCCCTTCGGGGGCGTCCCACCACCATTTCAGGTTGAGGCTAGAGCTTGCTTCCTGTGCTCGTTGCCCGAGTGATTTCCCCGGAGAGAAGACTTGGTTCGTGCTTCCTCCATTCAGTTTTAGAACATTAATAAACATGCTCATGGATATTTTACTTTAGAGCCTGCGTGCTCATGTTTGCCCTGTGTGGCCCTTTGTTTTAAACAATGTTTTCCGCTGCGTATTGAATTGCTTATTATGTATGTTTATGGATGACTTATGTGTGAATGATATTCATGACGCCTTGTATAATATGAATGTGTTGGACTGCGGTTGACTATTCGTATTGTACGGCGGGTTGTTGACGTGTCCGGGGAGGTCCGGGGCGTGACAATTAAGTTGGTATCAGAGCCTTAGTCCATAAACTTCATAATGAAGTCTCAAAATTCTCTTTTTGAAAAGATTTTGAAAACCATGAGCATAGAAGTTTTGTACTTGGAGAGCTTTTGGTACTTGGGTCGCAAGGTCTCTAATTGTTAAGATGGTACCCTTAGCAATTGGTATGGCGGTGACTCGAGCCAAAATGTGTCTTAAGTACCTATCCGTCAATTGACATTTGATACGAGTCTAACGACTCTTTCCAAATTTCTTTCAGAAATGGACCGTGGTGGCAGGATTACTAGGAGGAACCCGACGGGCCGTGTACCAGTGGAGACTGGACAGGGCAGTCGAAGGACCTCTAGGGCATCTAGAGGAGCTGGCCGTGGAGGCCGATCACAGACCGTGAGTGACGGTCATGTCGACACAGAAAGTGAGACCTACTGGTCCTATGAGGACTCGACTTACCAACCGGAGACAGAGCCGGTTGAGACCCCTTATGAAGGGGATGATGACGATGTAAGTGATGAGGAGGGAAATGGCTCCTTAGCACGGATCGAAGCACTACTCCAACAATACCACCGGGAGCGTGAAGAGAGGAGGCAACGCCGAAGACGCCGAGTGGGGCAACCTTCGGGCATGGCTTCAAGAGGAGGGAGTCATGGTGCATCTAGAGTCCATGTGGAACCACATGGAGGCCAAAGTGATGGAGGTCCAACCATAAGGATCTCCAAATTTATCAAAGAAGCAAGAGATTTGGGGTGCAAACCCTTTGATGGAGCAGGGGACATTTCAGTCGCAGCACAATGGATCAAGAGGCTAAATGAAGCAGCCCTTGACATGCAAATCGCGCCGAATCTCAAACTGAGAATTGCGGTAAGATTGCTCGAGGGGATGGCATCCAAGTGGTGGGATGGAACCAAGAGCAAGTACGGTGAGACCGTCGTTTGGGAGGACTTCCAACGGGAGTTCTTTGCCCAATATTATTCTGATTTTGAAGTGAACAAGAAGGTGAGGGAATACACCCTCCTAACCCAAGGGGGGTAACATGACAGTGAAGGAACTTGAGTACAAGTTCCGGGATCTCGCCGACTACATACCGGAGTATGCTTGTGACGAGAACCGAATGGTAAACCACTTTTGGGATGCTCTTGACTTGGAGATACGTGATAGGGCAACACAATTGCCTAATATGACTTTCGCCCAAGTGGTTGACCAAGCGTTGAAGGGGGAGAAACAGTGGGAGGAGAGGAAGAAGAGAGACGCCGAGGAGGCGAAAAAGAGAAAATGGGAGAGTCATGGCTCCCAAGGTTCCAACAAAAAGGGGAACCATGGAGGAGGATCTTTCTGGGCACCGCCGCCACCGTCTAGGGGGAACCAAGGCCCGAGTGGGCAAGGCTCGAGGTCACAAACCTCGGTGGTAACTCGTTGCAACAATTGCAAGAGGAACCACTCCGGTAAATGTCGCGACCCCCCTAGATGTTTTCAATGTGGGGATGCCGGGCATTTGAAGGCGCATTGCCCACAATTGGGTGGGGCAAGGACATCGGGACCGAGCAGTGGCCCGACGGGTACACGGAATCAAACCGGAGCTTCTCAAGCGAGCCGGGGACATGGGGGAGCGAGTACGAGCAACGCGCCATCTGTGAATCAAGGAAGAACTCAAGCTAGAGTTTATGCGATGACGGAGGCAGATGCTCGAGCTAACCCGGACTCGGTTGCAGGTATTGCCTCTTGCACAATTGTATTTTGTCCATATTTAACCCATAAATTGATGACATAAGTCATAGGGATTGAGTGCGAGTCATTACGGGGTCAAACGGCAAAATTCGGGCCAAAACTGACCAAAAACAGGGACGCACGATCGTGCGTCCAACCCCACGCACGATCGTGCGTAGGGGGCAGTGGTTCCGGGTGAATTTCGCGCAGGACGCACGACCGTGCGTGCCGGTACGCACGCCGTGCGTGGACGCACGATCGTGCGTGGCCGGGTACGCACGATCGTGCGTAATCGGCAGTGGTCGGGTTCGATGTTTCTTCACGCACGCACGACCGTGCGTGTCCCACGCACGACCGTGCGTGGACCCCAGCCGCCCGAAACCTAAGTTTTTCATCCCGTTCTTCTACGATTGAACCCCCGTTTGATTCCGAACATTTGTATGAACCTATTAACCTCCTAAAAGGTGTCCTAAACCATTAGAAAAGGTATCTTACATGGTGTATAAATGTAGGAACATTAAAGATTAATGGGAAGGATGCACGAATCCTTATCGATACCGGAGCGCAACGTTCGTTCGTGAGTGAGGCGTTCGCCGAGGACTTAGGGGTACAATCAACACCAATGACGCACACATTAGTGGTATCAACACCACTAGGGGATGACGTTGAAAGAACTAGTTATTATCCATCTTGTGAGGTGGAAATTGATGGCCAAACCTTGACGTGTGATTTCGTACCGCTGAGTATGATGGAGTTCGATGCAATCCTAGGGATGGATTGGCTAGAAAAGCATCATGCTAGGGTAGATTGCTACACAAAGGTTTTGGAACTCGAAGGCAATAATGGGGACACCCTACGCTTCGAGGGGGATCGAGGCAAATCAAACAGTTGTATTATTTCCGCCGTGAGAGCGAGAAGTATGATGAGAAAGGGATGTCACGCATATCTAGCATACGTGATTGACAAAACCAAGGAGGAAACGAACATTGACGACGTGAGGGTGGTTTGTAAGTACCCGGATGTCTTCCCTAAAGACCTACCGGGGCTTCCACCCGATAGGGAGATTGAATTTGTGATCGAGGTCGAGCCCGGCACCAAACCAATCTCCATACCGCCATACCGTATGGCACCCGCTGAACTTAACGAGTTGAAAACCCAATTGCAAGAGCTTTTGGATAATGGTTTCATTAGACCAAGCCACTCCCCGTGGGGAGCACCAGTTCTTTTTGTGAAGAAGAAAGATGGGACACTTCGAATGTGTATTGACTATCGTCAACTGAACAAGGTCACAATCAAGAATAGGTATCCTTTGCCTAGAATTGATGACTTGTTTGATCAATTACGAGGGGCAACCGTGTTTTCAAAGATTGATTTGAGGTCGGGTTACCATCAATTGAAGATTAAGGAAGACGACATACCAAAAAGTGCTTTCCGCACAAGGTATGGGCATTTTGAGTTCCTTGTTATGTCGTTTGGGTTAACAAACGCCCCAGCGGCATTCATGGACTTGATGAACCGAGTATTCCATAAATACTTGGATCGATTCGTGATTGTGTTCATAGATGACATTTTGATTTACTCAAAGAGTGAGGAAGAGCATGAAGAACACTTGATACTCGTTCTTGAGACACTACGGGAGAAGCAACTTTATGCCAAATTTTCTAAGTGTGAATTTTGGCTAAAGGAGATTGGCTTCCTCGGGCACGTGGTTTCTGGATCGGGAATTGCTGTTGATAACAAGAAGATAGAAGCCATTACCGAATGGGAGAGGCCAAAGAACGTCAAGGAAATTCGTAGTTTCCTTGGATTGGCAGGCTACTACAGGAAGTTCGTGGAGAAGTTCTCTATTTTGGCATCACCATTGACGAAGCTCACTCGTAAAGGAGCTAAGTTTGTATGGGACGACAAATGTGAGAAGGGGTTCATGGAACTAAAGAAACGATTGACCGAGGCACCGGTACTTGCATTACCCAAACAGGGTGTGGGGTACGATGTCTATAGCGATGCGAGCATCCAAGGGCTTGGGTGTGTACTGATGCAGAATGGGAGGGTAATCGCCTATGCTTCACGACAGTTGAAGAAGCATGAGGTGAATTATCCTACTCATGATTTGGAGCTGGGGGCAGTGGTGTTTGCACTGAAGATATGGAGACATTATCTCTACGGGGAGACATGTCACATATACACTGATCACAAGAGCTTGAAGTATGTGTTTACTCAGAAAGAGCTAAACATGAGACAGAGACGGTGGATGGAGTTGATAAAAGACTACCATCTGGTGATAGAGTATCACCCAGGCAAGGCTAACGTGGTGGCAGATGCTTTGAGCCGGAAAAGCTCGTCTGGGGCATTGCTAGCTAATTTGAGGGCATTAAGAGCCCAACTGGAGGTATCCAGCGAGGGTGCCTTATTGGCACGATTTGAGGTGAGACCTACTTTACTTGATGAGATCAAGAAGGGTCAGGAAACTGACGAAGAAATTATGAAGATCCGGGAACGCATGCAAGCGGGACCGGTGGAGGACTTCAGAGAAAGAGATGACGGTCTCTTATTATTTCGTGACCGAGTGTGTGTACCGGCAGATGACGAGCTCCGAAAGTCCATCTTAGAGGAAGCTCATTCATCGGCTTATGCCATGCACCCGGGGGGCACGAAGATGTACCGTGACCTGAAGGAGAGTTACTGGTGGTCAGGTATGAAGAGGGAAATAGCCGAATATATCAGTCGATGCCTTACTTGTCAACAAGTTAAGGCAGAACATCAGCATCCAGCAGGCCTATTGCAACCACTTTCCATTCCTGAATGGAAGTGGGAACACGTGACTATGGATTTTGTGGTAGGGTTGCCACGGACAATCAGGAACTATGATGCAGTTTGGGTTGTTGTGGATAGGCTCACGAAGAGTGCACACTTCTTGCCTATCAACACTACCTACCCACTTGAGAGATTAGCCAAATTGTATACGGATGAGATCGTGAGGCTGCATGGAGTCCCAGTGACCATTGTATCTGATAGAGACCCACGATTCACATCACGTTTTTGGCCGAAATTTCAGGAGTCTATGGGAACGAGGCTGAAGTTCAGTACTGCTTTCCACCCACAGACGGATGGGCAGTCTGAAAGAGTCATACAGATCTTAGAAGACATGCTGAGGGCTTGTGCATTGGAGTTTCAAGGAAGTTGGGACAACCACTTAGCACTGGTGGAGTTTGCCTATAACAACAGTTATCAGGCAAGCATCGGCATGCCTCCATACGAGGCATTGTATGGGAGGAGGTGTCGTACACCGTTATGCTGGGATGAGGTTGGCATGGCCAAACTCGAGGGTACTGAGTTGGTTGAGGTCACCAAGTCAAAGGTGAAGTTGATTCGAGAGAGACTCAAGGCAGCTCAGGATAGACAAAAGAGTTATGCAGATAAGCGTCGAAGGACCTTAGAGTTTAAGGTTGACGACGAGGTATTCCTGAAAGTTTCTCCTTGGAAAGGAATCATTCGATTCCAAACCCGAGGAAAGCTTAACCCACGATATATAGGCCCATTCAGAATTATAGAGAAGGTTGGGGCCGTAGCATATCGTCTACAGTTGACTCCTGAGTTGGAGAAGATTCATAATGTATTTCACGTGTCCATGCTTAAGAAGTATGTGCATGATCCTTCTCATGTGTTGGAAAAGCCGCCCGTGGAGGTACGTGAAGATTTGAACTATGCCGTGCAACCGGTAAGAGTTATTGACAGAAAAGTGAAGAAACTGAGGAGTAAAGAAGTTCCAATGGTTAAAGTCCTTTGGAAGAGTGACCGGGTCGAGGAAGAGACATGGGAAACGGAGGCTTTGATGAGGAAGCAGTATGCTTTCCTATTCGAGTAGAGCTGTGAATTTCGGGGACGAAATTCCTGTTAAGGGGGGGTGAACTTGTGACACCGCACCCGAACGTCCTTGAAAATTCGATTTAAAAATTCAAAAGTGATGTATTGAATTTCCGATTTCAAAGCAATGGAAGAAACGATTAATATTTTACGAAGTACGCGATTGAATATTGTATTGTTCAAACCCGTATTCTTTTATAATTTTCATCATGTAAATTATTGGGATGATCCTACACATATTGGAGATCAATAATGTGATTTAGGAAGTTGACTTGTTCTAAATATATTAGGATGAGTGCAAAAAGACATATTTTGACAAAGATAAAACAATAGGACCCATTTCCCCCATTTTTGGAAGTATTGGTAGATAATTTGGACCCCAAATTAATTGGGATCAATTGGGAACCACTCCACATGATTATAGTACCTGCAAAACAAGAAAAATAAGTGAGGAGACTTACCTTGGCCGCACAAGCTGGAGGAGGGCTGCACAAGACTTGATTGGAATCAACCTTGAGACCCACCTTGTCTATTTCCGCACAAATCATGGGTGTGTTTTGTCTCCCTTCATTTTGAGAGTTGTACTCGTCCAAATGAGGTGTATAAGGTGTCCTTGGATAGCCTTTGAAGTTTAGTTTCATAATTGAGTGGCCTTTGTTCGAGTAGAGAGAGCAATCATCCAAAAATCGATCTGGAACGAGCAGTGGTCTGTGAACTCGAGCTGTGGGAGTGCTGAGACTGTTTGGTCGATATCTCGAGTTTTACAAATCCAATTAAGGCGTGTGAGATACCCACAGAAAGCTCTCAAGACGAGGAATCCGTGAAGGTCTGGTTTGCAGGAATCGGAGTTGTGGAAGGCTTCCAAATCGTCCGAGAAAAACGCAACCTCGCAGGAGAGGATCTAATCCTCTAAAGTGAGTTTTAAACCCCAAAGCTTTACTTTTCATTCTCCAAATGATATGAACGATTGGTGAGACTATTATACACTAATCCAAGTGTATAATATGTCCTTATAAAGTTATTTTATTGATGTAAAGGTTAGATACTAACCTAGATGCAAATATTGGAAAACTAGGAATCGAGTTAGCCGGAAAACACCCGTTCTAGGGGCTGTTTTCGTATCAACGATTAAGGGTTGAACTAGCACTTGAGGAGGCTGTTTAACACTCATATTTGAGCAAGGAATCAGTTCCAAATCCACCTTGACCAAAGCTTTGACCATTGGACCAAGAAGGGAAAGTTTAAAGCTCAATTGAGGTGAGGATTGACATCTAATTGCTTACAACTTGTAGGTTAAGCATGAGATTACCTAAATGCTTAAATCATGATTTTTCATGGATTATGATGATTATATATTGATGAAATATTGATATAGTTGCCAAGGAATGAAATTTGAAATGATTTGAGAAGGTATGAATAATATGAGATTAAATGAGTATAAATGAACTATTTTGTGAAAATGGGCATTTTGCTCATGTATGAATTATGTGGATACATAAATGAATATTTGTGTATTGAGATTGAATACTTAAGTTGCTGCTACATAATTATAAATATGTAGAGAATTACAAATAATGAGGATAATGGTATGATAACAATAATCTTAATAGTATTGAAATACTAGTTAGTGATTATTGGAACTTGTTGATTAAATCGATCCTAGGGATTGGATTGTATGAAAGGTACTTGAATATAGTTCAAGTGTATATAATAACTTAGTTTAGAACTAAGGTTAAGTTATGGGAAGTCTTTAAGGATGACCCAAAGTAGTTTAATGATATGCCAATTCTAGGCATAGGGTTGCTTGAGAATTGGACCTTAATGCATGGTGATGTAATAGAGCCGAGCTCTAGAATGCATGTAAGGTGTAGACTTGGAGTCTATGTATTGTATAGCTAGAGCCGAGCTCTAGGACTTGCGTGGTGATGTAATAGAGCCGAGCTCTAGAACGCAAGGTAAGGAAATTGGCCCGAGGTATATGAATTGTATGGTGACGTAGTAGAGCCGAGCTCTAGAATACAATGTCATGTACTAGGGTTGGACTCTAGGAGTTGTCGTGGCTTTTAGTCACGGGGTTGGGAATGGTGATTTCCAAATGAACATGGGCCCACGGGCCGGCTACTTGACTTTTATATAAAGTAAGTATATTTTTAAACGGGGTAACTTAGGGTTACAATCATAATATACTATCACCCTATTTGAGGGTCTTGTGTTTGAAATACTTGTTGTATATCTATTAGATGCCTGCCACACCAGCACTTTATAGCCCTATAGAGTGCTGACCCCTTCGGGGGCGTCCCACCACCATTTCAGGTTGAGGCTAGAGCTTGCTTCCTGTGCTCGTTGCCCGAGTGATTTCCCCGGAGAGAAGACTTGGTTCGTGCTTCCTCCATTCAGTTTTAGAACATTAATAAACATGCTCATGGATATTTTACTTTAGAGCCTGCGTGCTCATGTTTGCCCTGTGTGGCCCTTTGTTTTAAACAATGTTTTCCGCTGCGTATTGAATTGCTTATTATGTATGTTTATGGATGACTTATGTGTGAATGATATTCATGACGCCTTGTATAATATGAATGTGTTGGACTGCGGTTGACTATTCGTATTGTACGGCGGGTTGTTGACGTGTCCGGGGAGGTCCGGGGCGTGACAGCTCTGATACCACTTGTTGGTCCCGTTTAATATGGTAACCAGTCTAGAGGGGGGGTGAATAGACTGGTTGGTTTTTCAAATTTTCTCCAAGTCCAAATTGACTTATCAGAGAAGGTCTGATTCTGATGACAGAGAAAGGCTGGTTCTGATATCAGAACCGGCCTTGGCAGCGGATTCTGATCTGTCCGGGTAGCCTCAGAAACACTAAGGCAAATGTCTTTCTGATAACTCTGAAAACAAGGTCTGCTGAACACAGATTCCAAGTTTTAGAGTTAATCAGTTAATATCCTAAGTGCAGAAATATAAATAGCAGTAAAGTAAATGACACCGGATATTTTTATAGTGGTTCAAGGAACAACTCGTTCCTCTAGTCCACTGTTCCACTAGCTTTGAAGTAGATCGGTTACAAAGCTAATTCCTAGCACTTAAGAAGTTCTCCACGCCTTCTTCAAGCCTAGTTGCCACCCAGGATGCAGTTCCACGTCCTGATGGCTGGCCCTTTCACTCAGCTTCCCGGAAGTATCACCACTTCACTACTGCAGTTACTTGGACGCCCTTCTTTTCAGAAGATCCTTTGAAAAACAGAGTTTTTCCTCCAACTTGCTTCGTCACAAATGATATGTAGTTGAAGTTCTTGAAGTGTTGAAGAACAGGATGAACTTTGCTCTTATTGGGGATGAGAGATTGTGAGATTGAATCTTCCCAACGTAAGCTTTTTCTTGTTCTTGTGTTGTGGAGTTTGAATCTCAAGAGAGCTTGAAAATTTTATGAGCAAAAGTTGTAGCGAAGTTATGTCCCTGTTCTTCGGTGAGTAGCTTATATACTGGGGTTGTCTGCCCGTTGGAGGAGGAGACAACTGCATTAAATGCGCGTACAGTTGACTTGACCGCCGTTTTGGAAGGTTTCTATTTTTATAATATATCTTCCCGGATTCCTTGGTCAATCATTTGCAATCAATCCTTCAGCGTATCAGGCTCATTTAATGTGCATTAAATGCTTTCCTTTCATGCACAGTCTTCTAGCCGTTGGATGTTTTACCCGTTGGATTCATAGCTGTTGGATGTTGCTTGAAATCTTCTAAGTGTTAGTCGGGCTCTGATCAGGCTCTTCTGAAGTATTGAAAACTGATGGCTTTCTGATGAGTTGAGTTCTGATGGCTTTCTGATCTCGGATAGAGCTCTAACTCTGACTCTGATTTATCCGCTGATGAGTACCTTTGATTTGTGGTTCTCATCGGTTATCAGATGTCCAAGTTTATCAGCAACTCTCATGGTGCAACTCTGATGGACTTCTGCTAAGAGAACTCTGATGGGGCAGTTCTCATAGGGCAAGTCTGGTCGAGCAGTTCTGATGCACTTCTGATCTGATCCAAAATAGAGCAACTCTGATCGTCGACTACACTAATACTTACAATTGAAAATTCTAATACATAAAATCTAATTTGGGGGGTACTCTATCTTTCTAATCCTATAGCATCATCAAAATCTAATTACATTTATTCCTTACAGGTATCGTCGGCGAGATCGTCTAGAAAACGTTCTCCGGTAGGGGTGGCCTGCAGCAGCTTAATGCCATCTAAGTAAGGATCGGGGCAAACAACAAGATACTGTAAGGAATAAATGTAATTAGATTTTGATGATGCTATAGGATTAGAAAGATAGAGTACCCCCAATTAGATTTTATGTATTAGAATTTTCAATTGTAAGTATTAGTGTAGTCGACGATCAGAGTTGCTCTGTTTTTGATCAGATCAGAAGTGCATCAGAATTGCTCGACCAGACTTGCTCTGTGAGAACTGCTTTATCAAGAGTTCTCTTATCAGAAGTCCATCAGAGTTGCACCATGAGATCTGCTGATAAATTGGACATCTGATAACCGATGAGAGTTACAGATCAGAGGTACTCATCAGCGGACCTATCAGAGTCAGAGTTAGAGTTCAGTCAGAGATCAGAAAGCCATCAGAACTCAACTCATCAGAAAGCCATCAGAATTCAATACTTCAGAAGAGCCTGATCAGAGCTCGACGAACACTTAGAAATTTTTCAAGCAACATCCAACAGCTATGAATTCAACGGGTAAAAACATCCAACGGCTAGAAGACTGTGCCTGAAAGGAAAGCATTTAATGCACATTAAATGAGCCTGATACGCTGAAGGATTGATTGCAAATGATTGACCAAGGAATCCGGGAAGATATATTTTAAAAATAGAAACCTTCCAAAAACGGCGGTCAAGTCAACTGTACGCGCATTTAATGCAGTTGTCTCCTCCTCCAACGGGCAGACAACCTCAGTATATAAGCTACACACCGAAGAACTGAAAAACAACTTTTGCTACAACTCCTACACATCATCATTCAAGCTCTCTTGAGATTCAATTTCTACAACCTTCAACAAGACAAGCTTACGTTGGGAAGATTCAAACTCCAAATCTCTCATCCCCAACAAACAAGCAAAGTTCATCCTGTTCTTCAACACTTCAAGAACTTCATCAAACATCATTTGTAACGAAGCAAGTTGGAGGAAAAACTCTGTTTTTCAAAAGGATCTTCTGAAAAGAAGGGCGTCCAAGTAACTGCAGTAGTGAAGTGGTGATACTTCCGGGAAGCTGCGTGAAAGGATCAGCCATCAGGACGTGGAACTGCATCCTGGGTGGCATCTAGGCTTGAAGAAGACGAGGAGTGCTTCTTGAGTGCTAGGATTTAGCTTTGTAACCGATCTACTTCAAAGCTAGTGGAACAGTGGACTAGAGGAACGAGTTGTTCCTTGAACCACTATAAAAATATCCGGTGTCATTTACTTTACTGCAACTTATATTTCTGCACTTAGGATATTAACTGATTAACTCTAAGACTTGGAATCTGTGTTCAGCAGATCTTGTTTTCAGAGTTATCAGAAAGGCATTTGCCTTAGTATTTTTCTGAGGCTACCCGGACAGATCAGAATCCGCTGCCAAGGCCAGTTCTGATATCAGAACCAGCCTTTCTCTGTCAACAGAATCAGACCTTCTCTGATAAGTCAGTTTTGACTTTGAGAAAAAGTTGAAAAACTAATCAGTCTATTCACCCCCCCTCTAGACTGATTACCATATTAAACGGGACCAACAAGTGGTATCAGAGCCGCCTTGTTCTTGTAATCTTTTAGGTTACTCTCTGAACAAAGATCCACTTGTTCTTAGCCTCTCTTTATTTATTATTATGGATAATTCTCTTGCAAAGCATCTTATGTTCACAGATCAGAAGTATGATGATTGGAAGATCAGAATGAAGGCACATCTATGTGCCCTTCATGATGAAATGTGGGAAGTCTTGGAAAATGGCCCCTTCATCCAGTTCATGAAGATCAATCCTGCTCACTCTATTGACAACTCTCAACCCCAGATGATTGAGAAAGCCCGGTCAGAATGGACCAAGGAAGAGAAAAGGCAGTACAACCTAGATAATATAGCCAAGGACATTCTTTTCAAGGCTATTGATGAAAGATACTTCAACAGAATCAAGAAGTGCAGAACTGCCAAAGAAATCTGGGATAAGCTGGATGAGATTGGAGCAGGAGATGAACAAGAAAGAGATAACAAGTTGACCATTGCTATGAAAAAGTTTGATGATTTCAAACTTCTGCCAGAAGAATGCATTGCTAAGATGCATGAGAGACTGCTGATTCTCATTAGTGAGATTTCTGAGCTTGGGAAGGAGCTCACCATCAAAGAGGTCAACATGAAGATCCTCAGGGGACTGCCTTCAGCTTGGAAGATGAAAGTGATTGCAGTCCAGGAAAGCAAGAACATCAAGACTTATGCCACTGAGAAACTCATCTCTGATCTCAAGGCTTATGAGTTTGAGATGCATGAAGAGAAGGAAGAAGTTCCTGATGAAAGGACTACCACTGCTCTCACTGCCAGTACCTCAAAGGTAAGTGACTTTGACCCTTCTACTCTTTTATCTGATGAGTATATGGCTGCTTTTGCCAGGAAGTTTAAGAAGTTCATGAAGAAAGATGGAAGGAGTCCATCTTCCATCAGAAGACCTTATCAGAAGACCAAATCTTCTGAAAGCAATGGAGAGTACCTCTGCTACAACTGCAGACAACCTGGGCACTTTAAAGCAAACTGCCCCTATCCAAGAGTGTCCAAGAAGCAAGGACATGAAGAAGAAAAGAAACCAGATGATCAACACAGAAGAAGGAGAGCATTTGTCTCAGAACAAGCTGAGAGAGATCCACTCTCTGAATCAGAGTCTAGCTCAGACTCCGACTCTGATGAAGCATTCTGCTGCTTGGATGCAGAAACTGAAGATCTTTGCCTCATGGCACAATCAGATGATGAGGTATGCTCTACTTCTAATTCTATTTCCTCTTCGGTAGGCACAGCCTTAAATGATGATCCAATATCATCATTCTGGGAAGAGTTCCAAACTATCCAAGCCACTTATTCTTTTGTTAAAGAAGAGAACAGTAGGCTGAAAGTTGATATCTCTGATCTAAGGAAAGAGACTGAGTGTAAACTTAATCTCTTAACTGAGGAAAGAGATAGACTGAAAGCTGAAAATGAGTCTCTTCTGAAAAGAATAAGAGACATTGAGGAACTTGAGAGTAGATATAATAGCCTTCTGAAGATGCAATCTTCCATGAAGAATATTGGTGACTCTCATAACTTCACTTCTGGTCTTGGATATGTTGAACCAGAGTCTGGTGAGCCTTCTGTAAGGCCTAGCACCCGAGTTGCTAAGGCTAAAAAGGTCATAGTGCCACAGACTCTGAGCCCCAATTGTCATGCTAGTACTTCTGGTACTAAAGTTGTTCATGAGAAGGTCATACCAGAGAAACAAACTCTAAAGGCCAAACCAAAACACAGTTTGAAAACTAATGAACCAGGCAGAAATTCTAACAAAAGGAAGAGTTTTCAGAAAAATAATAATCAAAAGCCTAATCCAATCAGACAATCTCATGACAATGGTATCAGAAACTGCTATCAGAAAGGCAGATATCAAGAGAAGATTAACTATAGGCAGA